GCAAGGTACAATACGTTGGGATTCTGATAATGCACAGAAATGGTTGTTTATTTACCATCTAGATAGTAAGTGTGGCATGTTGCAAACAGCCACACATAATTTAGTACTGCAAAATTAAATGAAGTAATGAGAGTAAACTAAATGCAGCTTAGATTGTGCTGAAGAGACTGTTAGAGCAGATGTTGCAATGTATTATTGTTTTAAACTATATTTTGTGAGCGTGTCACTTATATTTTTGGCACACATGGATGTAAAATACAGTGGTGCCTCGCTTAACGGGCGCTCCGTTTAGCGATGAAATGGCTAAGCCATGACTTTTTCGGAACGTTTTTGTGCTTCGTTTAGCGATGGTCCCTATAGGTGAATTTCGCTTAGCGATGGTTGGGACCATGCTTCGCATAGCGATTAAATTTTGGGTCCCCTATTTTCTTTAACAATGGTTTAAATAGCCTCATGTTTGCTATTTTTTAAATGTTTTTCTGTTATTTATAAAGTTAAAGTTTACTGTTTAAAATATTTGAAATCATAAAGTGCACTTAATAAACCCTTTGTTAACCAAATTTGACTTTGTTCTGACTCTTTTTAAATTTGTTGTTGTATTTCTCCCCCCCCCCTGAGATGCATTGAATAGGTTTCAACACATTTCAATTGGGGAACCGTGTTTCACTTAGCGATGTTTCCTATGGCGATTTTTGCTTAAGGACGGCAATTCGTTCCTATTGGAATGGATTATCCGGTTTTCAATGCATTTCAGTGGGAAACCGCGTTTCGCTAAGCGATGAAATAGCTTAGCAGTGTTTTCGGAACGAATTAACATCGCTAAGCGAGGCACCACTGTAAATAGTTTTGTGTTCATGTATTCTGAATTCTTTGTGCTCTTCTTAGTATGCCACTTCAGTAGGTTATGCCAATACCAAGTAACAGTTATTCTCATGAAGGCTACGAAGAATGAAATCCATTCCAAAATGGATTTTGAGTCATAAAAGAAAATATTATCTTGATTATAAACTTTCACTTTATGGAAGATTCATTTAGGTATGATGTAATTAGGAAAATTCTTTTTAAAATAATCTTAAATTTTGCTTATAAGCAAATTAATAGCTTGAAAAATAACGTATCTTATTTTAAACTATCAGCTGCGTTTATAGTGCAGTCTGTTTTGCTTTTACCATAGTTTGGTCTTTTGGCTTTGAACTGGTATATGGTTTTGAATGGGCCAGATTTATTGCCAACTCATATAAAAATATATAATTTCTCTGTGAAATGTTTTAAAATTATAGTTCTGCAGTGAACACTGGGTACTTTTAGAGCTAAATGTGGCATATTGAAATGTGCATGTGCTATATAAAAGTCATGGGCTTCATTGAATTTGGCAAGACAACTTATAATTAAGGCCAAGTGCATCAATTTTTAGTTAAATACCTTGATCAGATTTTGCTTTGGGTGCAAAAATAAAATATATGTTAGTGTAGTGTTTTTTTAGAGAAAGAAGTTTTTAAGATTTTGATTTAAAATATGAAGACTTGGAAACTGGTGTAATCACAAGATTTTATAAAACCTTTTATTTCCAATGAAAGAAACATCTCTGTCCAAGCTCCATTTAGATATTTAAAAGTGTATAAAATACTCATGTGCAGAAGGGAATACGCTGTCTCTGCCCCATCCATCCCTGGCTTTATTGCCATTCTATGTGTGGAAAGGAAGGAGTTTCTCTGCCCCATCCATCCCTGGCTTTATTACCATTCTATGTGTGGAAAGGAAGGAGTTTGAAGAGGAAGATCTCTGCTATCCATGAGGGCTCGCTGTGTCAGGATGCAATCTGACGACAAGAAAGGATCACATCTGATCACCAGAAAGGGTTGTTTGCTGGGAGCGATCTCCCTTAAAGTGACCCTTCCATCCGTGAAGGAATTGCTCTAGCCTGGCCCCAAAAAAGATTGGCCATGCTTGGGCAAAAGGGTCCAGCTTGGGCACAGATTAGGGTCATGTCATGCTTGGGCAAAAAGGTCCAGCTTGGGCACAGATCAGGGTCAGTCTGGTTCATGATCTCACCTGTGTCATGGGATCCCTGAGAAAGGGCTTGCACTAGATTATGCCATAAGTGGTCCTAAATTTAAGCTATTTTGCCATCTGGTCGTACCCTAATTGGGAACTCTGGACAGCCAGGGTTCTGACTCTGGCTGAGAGCACTCGCAGACAGCAGTTTTCGTCTTATTAGACATGTTACCTTCTAAATGTAGAATGGTGGCATAAATGATGAAAGAAGTGAAGTTAGAACAATGTAGTGTACATATGAGTGCACTATATCATACTATATACTTTTGAATGCCTGAATAGAACACAAATGTTCCAGGAATGAAGCTGAAAGAGTAGGGTTTGGGTTGAATCCAAAGAAAGTAGTGGATATGCACAAGCGGAGACTAACATGCAACAGCTGATGCTTTGCTTTGTGTGCTTGGTGTAGCAAAAGAAATTAGCAGTTTGTTATAGAATAGAGAATAGAAGAAGATATGTAAGTTTTCAACATAGATGAGATTCTGCTGTATGCCTCTGTAGTAATATATGTAGAGGAAGAGCATTTCAGCCAGTCCAGTTACAAGCACCTAAAATTCGGAACTGAACTCACTGAGGATGCATGAATGCAGTCTTATATTATAACAGCTTTTAAAGCATGTCACAAAATTCTCAACTCAGTTTATTACTCTGTTTACTGCTTGCCATCCAACACACATCTTCTCCATTCTTCTTCTTGTACTTTTTCTACTGGAGGTTGAATGATATCATGGCCACTCCAGTCTTGGATTGGCAGCTCTGAACAATGTTGTGTTGTATTCAAACCAGTCTTCAAGGTTTTCCAGTTAGTAAGTTATTTTCCTTCCTCCACTTCTTTTCCAATTTATTTTCCTTTGAATAATCAGTTGAAGCAATCTGTACTTTTATTTCTCAATTCTCCAGAATAATTTTTCTGTATTCTAAATATGACACCTTGTCCATGAGCATGGATATAAAGAGTTTTCTAGTACTTTAACAAGAAGTAGATTGTATTTAATGAAAACTGACATCCGTTGCTTGATACTTCTGTACTGTCTCCTGCTCCATAATGGCAAATGCAGAGAAGTGTAATTGCAACAACACTGAAGTGATAGATTTTAGGTATTCAGAAACATTTTAATAGTAGAGCTACAGACACAAAATAAAGTTTAAAAAATGATTCTCAAAGCTGAATACAGAAGAATTGTTTGGGTGTTTGTTACTCTTAGTTGCCCCCTTGTTTGATTAATGGCTTCACATTGTTGTTTTCTATTTAGGAAAATAAAACGGTTGCATTGGCAGAAGTAACTGTTTAGTACGGGCAACAAAAACAGATGTTGTCCAAGGTCATCATGACTGTTCTTATCCTGGCATGGGAGAAGTTTAGTAAGAGGAGAAAGAAGTTTCTGCACTTCTAAGGGTTCTGAACTTTTATAAGTAGAAGCAAAGCCCCCTTAACAGTTGGTAAATGCTTGATTTTCCTCCTATGAAATTCCACAGCTCTGCAAATTACAAACTGACGTACTATTTTTTTTCTTATGATTGGTCTCTTGTCTTTCTGCTCTAAGTGTCTGCAACGGCTATCCCCACCCCACCCCTGCAAAAAAAAATTGTGCTTGAGGTCAGACTGTGTGAACTGAATTTGATAGAAATGATTATCAGTAAAGAGTTACACAAACTAAATTGGATGATGTTTCAAGAAAGAATTCTTACATATAGTAGCTTGTCTGATGCTGTGAGAAACTGAGGATAATGAACTGTCATATTTAACTGTGATTAGGTTAATGTGACAGATGAATTCAAGAGTAAAGTACAGTTATGTATAAATGTTTGCTAAGTAGGCAGGATAAGAAGGCTTTCTGTGGTGAGTGAACAGGAAGAATTTGTGTATGCCATTCCCACTAAGGCTTAATTTCCAAGATAACAACCAAGAAAACTGAGGAGTGGGGAGCATACTTGGGTTGGGAGGGTGACTTGTGTGAAGAGCAGTTGTTACTTGCTGTTTCTTAATCATGTATATTCTGTTTTCAGGAGATGCCCTTGTTGCCATAAATGATGTTGATGTAAACTCTGAAAATATAGAAAGAGTTTTGTCTTGTATTCCTGGTCCTAGGCAGGTATACTTATTTGATTTTATTATTGTTCTTGTTGTTGTTGCTAAATTTTTAACAGAAGCATACACACCTGTCTGTGCTTGTATGTGAGATCTATATAAGAAAAGTATGCATAAAATACATGCCTTTGTTTGTAGTTTTCTTTAGAAACATTTGCAAGTGTTAGGAAAGAAAACATACTCCCATTGCTAAGGAACCAAATCAGTGCTCCCAATACTTATTTATTTAAAATATTTTTTATCCCACTTTCTCCTTAAAAAGGACCCAGAGTGGCTTATATCATTGTATTTAAAAGATAAAAGCAGTAAGTATACAAATATTTTTAAAGGATTAAATAAGTATTATATTAAAAACAGTAAATAAAATCAATATTAAAACACATTTAAAACAACTGAGCATAACAATCCATTTAGAAACCCCTCTCAGACCACCAGTCATTAAAGAAAACCCTTCCTGAAAAGAAATGTCTTTGCCTGTACAGTATGTTGAAGAACAGTAAAGATGGGGCTGGTCTAACATCCTTTGGGACAGGATTCCAGAGTCTGGGAGCAGCAACAGAGAAGGCCCTCTCTCATGTCCCCACCAAGCACACCCGTGAGGGTGGTGGGACTGAGAGAAAGGCCTCCCCTGATGATCTTAATGCCCAGGCAGGCTCATAGAGGGAGATGTGGCCTTTTCGATAGCTGGGACCCAATCCATTTAGACCTTTATAGGTTAAAATAGCACTTCGAAATGTGTCTGGAAACAGATAATCCGCTGCTGTAATAGGGGAGGTATACGCCCCTGTAACCAGCCCTAGTTAGCAATCTGGCTGTGACATTTTGTACCCTCTCCATTCAGTCGCGCTGTTTTCATTGGTTCCAGTATAATGTGGATGGGTTTGCACATTTGAATATGGTGTTTAGGCTTGTATGAAGTTTTGCATATATGTAGCTATGCATTTGTAAGTTTCCCTTTACAATCATGTAATGGTGGGGGATGAGGTAATAGGCTGTGTGTGGTGTCAGAGGAACGGCTATGCAATGCAGTTCCATCCCCACCATATATTCAGGTAAGTAATTTCTTATTCAACACATTTCACATTCAACAATGGGTTTTTGGCCTATAGCTCTCATAAGCATTGGTAGCATAGCTTGTGGTAAGAGACAGAAAATGCAGTCCAAAAGCATCTGGAGAGTCACAGCTGCCCACACCTGTATTGTAACATTAATTTTTCTTTTAATCTTCTATTGAAACAAGCCATGTGTATGCATTGTACCTTCTCCATTGTTAACAGTGGTTTATGTTTGACAAGATTCTTTCCTAACCAATCATTCAGTTCCAAATGCTACTGTTTGTTTGTTTGTTTGTTTGTTTGTTTTATTGGATTTCTACCCTGCCCATCTAGACCAAAGGTCTACTACAAAATGTATTGACTTCTAAGGAGCACATCTTGCTAGGATTGAAACAAATTTAGTAACTACAGTAATAGTTTCCAAGCCTAATTCTGAGTGATGTTACATAAAGCTCATTTAGTTTGGAACTTGAATACTTGAAATAGCACATTTTCCTGTATTTACGAATTCATTTATCAAACACCTTACAGGGGACCCTTAGCATCTAAGGTGAGGTTATGATCAATGAGAGGGTAATTTCAGTTGTGGAATGCTGAATTAAGGTCTGACTTGGTATAAGGCATATTCCTGTGTTGAACCCTGTTTTCAGTCTGATTAAGAATGGGTCTGTACCTTCAGTAACCACTGTTGGTGCTTAGTGGCAGTAAAGCATTAACATAACTGGTTCAGTGAGGTTGTGGAGCTGGAGAAATTGAAGTTTGCACTCCTACTCTCAATCCTTTCCACATGGAAAAGAAACTGTCCAAAATTATCCCTGTGCTCACTCTTTTGTGTGAAACTGATGCTAAACATTGGAGTATTTTTAATGAGAATTTAGTTTGAGGCCTGCTTTTATTTAAACAGAATTGCTGTTGTTACTGAAATATGATGGATGCCATATGAGCAGGAATAGTCAATATAGCTTAGCTCGATGCCTTATATGTCGGTTTATAATTAAAACATTGATTTTAGTGTTGCTCAAACATCAAGAATTAACAGTTTGGATTTCATAACAGTCACTTATCATATGAATTAAACATTTCCGGAATTGATAAATCAAGTAAGTTTGTTTCTCTTACTGGTTTTCCACAATGCTACATTCTCTTGTTTCTCGTGTTCTGAATAGCCTCGATTAGAAAACAACATTTAATCATTAAACATAACCCTCTGCAGAATTTTATTTGGATGGGTGGCAACAGAAAACACTTCTGCTCTTGCAAAAATGAACTCAAAAGATCTTTAGAGGCAAAATGTTTGTTCTGACTGCTCAGATCCAGCAGCTGCATTGCATGCATACAGGTTGCATGTGAGCAACTACAGTTGTGTTCAGTGTTGAAAAATGCTCCAATAATTTGTGGTTAAATTTAAGAGCTTCTATTTTTTATTAACCCTAGTTTGTAACTTTATCAAAAGCTGACATGTTGGGATCAATCTTACATGTGGGATGTTAAAATGTGCAGCTCTATCACCCATTGTATACTGGCTTATTTCAAGCAAATTGTAGTTAAAATTACCGTAGTTATCAGATGGGATATGTAATTGTAATTAATTAAAAACAAACAAAATCTTCCATCTCTTTGTGGCCATGCCAGATTAGGGCAAACCTGAGGTTCACAGTGTCTCGTTCCTGTCAGGATAAACCATGGTTCGTCATTGTGCCCAAACTAGTTCATGATGAATAATGATGTCCTTCACAGTGAATGGATTTTCCAGTGTTGAAAAGTTGCACACAATGTGTATATCAATGTCTTTCTTCTTTTAGTTATCTAGGAAACAAAGATTATGCCTCCAGTTATGCAGTACTAAAATAATTCTAATTCTTTGAATAGGTGAAGCTTACATTTGAAACATCAGTCTTTGAAACATCCCCACAAAGATGTAAGCAGTCAGAATCTTCTATGCAAAACCTATTGAAAGTCCTTTGGAAAAGCCATAACAATGACGAACAAATCAACATCCAGAGTATACCACATATTATTATGTACCTCTCACTCAAATTGGATTCCGATACATCTAAAGAGGAGGTATGTATTCATGGCAATAAGAGAAAAGGGTAAAATCCTGATCATGATGTGGTTACTGATTGCTATGAAGAACTAATAAAATAAAACAACAACAACAAAGGGCCAGAAATTGTCTAGTCCTTGCTGTTATAAAGGAGAGCCAGTGTGATCTAGTGTATAGAGTATCAAACTGAGGCTCACGAGACCAAGGTTCAAATCCCCACTTGGTCATGGAAACTCATTGGAGGGTGGTAATGATGACCTGTCCCTTGAACATCTGGCATAACTTGAAAACTCCAGGACTGCCACAAATCAAGCAACTTAATGGTACATAACAAATAAACTGCTGTGTTTGAAAATGTGGTGACGAATGCTGCTGATATTTCTAAATGCAAGGGAGTTCCTGAAGGAAAGGAATGTTCTAGAAAGTCATTTAAGCCAATACTTTAACACTTTCCAGGACAAGGATTGTCTTGCATTTTAATGTGTGTGTTTGGAATCATTATTGCAGTTCAAGATACTTGCACTTTTCTTACCTTTAAATTGTATATACGTTAACAGAGCAAGTAGTGATACTGTGAACAGAAATTTAGTGTTCATTTGAAGCAAGAACTTGGAAGACGTTGTTGGCTTCAGGAGCATTTTCTACTACATAAATCTGAAGTGCTCCTAAAATTAGTAGCACAGATTTGCATAGAGGTTATGGTTTCTTGTTTACCACAGAGGAGCAGTCTATTATCTTCATTCACTGAGGAAAATTCTCTGTTTAAGAAAGCATCCTTTGTTGGAGTCTAGTTCTTGGAGTCTTTCAGCTGCTTAGCTTTGTATTGAGAATTCTGTTCAGCTCTCTTGTAGTGCAAAGACTTTGCTGAGTAAAGGCAAAGTCTACTGCAAAGTTTATTGCATGGAAATAAAGAGAACTTAAAATATAATTTGCTTACTGACAAACTGCTTAATAGAGTAATATAGTCTCCAGGAAACTGCTTATGCGACTGCAGTATTTTTACATATGAAATTCATTATCCTTGGCCTTTGCACACATTAGACCCAATGACTCCTTTCAGCTTGCTTTAAAGATTGTTAATCATGTGCAGCAACACACATTACTGTCTGTTGATTAGGCCTTACTACACAATAGTGTTCAGTAGCTGCTGCTAGGATCTTTGTATTCTGGTTTTCTTTCCCTGGGAAAAGAGTAGATGTTTCACAAATGAGCTTTGTAAACATTATTTTGTTTATAAAAAGAGTAAGGTCTTTCTCTCCCCCCCCCCCCAATTTCATGCTGTGCTGTAATTACAAAAGACTTTTAAAAATAATTATTCACTACACATTGATTGATGCGTAGAATCCTTGTAAGTTGGACATTTTAGAAACAGATGATTAAAATAGATGAAAGTTCCACTCAGTGATGGGTTTCCAAGTCCTTTCTAACTTATCTGAAAAGAATTTTTTTCTCTACCAGAGTTTGGCACTCCCTGGTTAGAAACAAGGAAACAAGGATGTGGACATAGTTACATTAGATAGTTAATATAGTTAATTCTAAGCAGGTTGACTAAATTCCATTCAATACAATCACATTTGTTGTTGTTATGTACCATCAAGTGATCTCTGACTTAAGATGACCATGTGAACGAGAGATCTCCAAAATGTCCTATCCTCTAGTTCTTGTAAACTCAAACTTGTGGCTTTTTTAAGGGAATCAATGTATCTTGTATTTGATCTTCCTCTTTTCCTTCAGCTTTTCCCAGTATTTTTTCCAGAGAATATTGCCTTCTCATGATGTGCCCAGAGTATTACAGACTCAGTTTCATTATTTTTTTGCCTCCAGTTCAGGCTTTATTTGCTCTGGGGCCTATTTGTTTGTTTTTCAGGCAGCCTAGGGTATCCACAAACCTCTCCTCCAGCACTACATTTCAAATGAATGATTTTTTTCCTGTCAGCTTTAACTGTCTAGCTTTCACACCCATACATAGTGATTGGGAATACTGTACAAGAGTGTGGATGATCTTGGTCTTGTCACTAGTGACACATCCTTATACTTGATTATCTTTTCTAATTCCTTCATTGCTGCCTTTCAAAGTCTTCTGATTTCTTGGCTGTCTCCATCTGGATTGATGATTGAACCAAGGTATACAAAATCTCTATTCAATTTCTTCATTGTCAATGTTAAAATTGCATAGTTCTTCTTTAGTCATAATTTTTGTCTTCTTTATGTTCAGCTGCAGTTGTGTTTTGATACTTTCTTCTTTCACTTCACATCATTCCTACTTTCTGCCAGTAAGATGGTGTTATCTGCATATCCTAAATTACTGCTGGTTTTTTCCACCAATTTCTACTCCTCCATGTGAATCTAGTCTGGCCTTCTATGTGATATGTTCTGCGTATAGGTTGGACAGGTAAGGGGATAAAATGTACTCTTGCCTATGGAAAACCATCCTTCCTTTCCACATTCTGTCCTAACAGTATCATCTTGTTCACAATACTTTATTTATTTATTTATTTACAATATTTTTTAGCCGCACCATTGCCAGTGGCTTCTGTACTGGTTATGAGTCAGGACAATCAAATATTGAGGCACGCCCATTTCTTTCAGAACAACCTATAGTTTCTCATGATCCACATCATATAGCATAGACTGATCTTCTGAAATTCTTTGCAGTACGCCAGTAGCCAGTGAATATTTGCTATAGGATCTCAAGTGCCTCTTCTTTTTTGGAATAAGCTTGAGCATCAGGCATTTCTCACTCCTTAGAAGGTAAAAGCCTTTGTTGCAACATCTTGAATATCACTTTGTGTACATGGGAAATTAAAGCAACAGTCTTATAGTTACTTGCACTGCTTGGCATCTCCTTTCTTGGGGAATGGAATATATATTGAGTGTTTCCAGTCTGTGGGCCATTGGTTTTTTTTCCCATATTTGTTGGCATATTTTTGTTAGGATTTTGACAGATTCAGTTTCTGTGGCTTGTTATATTCTATTGGTATTCCATCTACACCAGTAATCTATTTATTCCAAGTGCTTTCAGAACAGATTTCACTTCACTTCCTAGAACTTCATAATAGGATTCCTCTTCAAAGAGTCTGTCATCCTTTTATCTGTTCTGTGTAGATCTTCATTATATTGTTTCTATTTTCTCTTTATTTTCTCCAGGTGAGATAGTGTCCTTGCCTATTGGTCATTCGGCATTCCTAATCTAGGCTTAAATTTCCCCATGATTTCTTGGATCTTCTAGAAGAGATATCTTGTTTTTCCCTTTATTGTGGCCCTTTACTGTATTTCTTTGCGCTGGTTATTGTAATAGTTCTTTTTGTCTCTTCGTGACAGTCACTGAAAAACTACATTCAGAGTTCTGACCTTATTTGTGTCATCTTTTACTTTTGCTTCTTACCTTTCCTTTATAATTTTAAGAAATTCTTCCATCATCCCTCTAGGTTTTTCTTTTTACTACAGAAATTGTATTTTTGCTTTCTTCCCGAATAATATCTCTGGTTGTAATCCAGAGTTCTTCTGGTTCACAGTCAGTTGAGTTTAGTAATGCAAATTTGTTCCTTATGTGGACTTTACATTCATCAGGAATGTTGTTTAAATGATAGTTTGGCATTATGATTCTTTTAGTGTTCTTTTTCATCTTTACTCTTATGTCAGATACTAGTGATTCATGATCATACCGCCAATCCAATCCTGTTCTTGTTCTGACAGAACTAATATAGTAAATGGCTTTCAGTTGTTATGACAGTTCACTGTAGTGAGTTACACAGTTTAAGTTACTCACAAGTAAATCGCCAATTGGATGTTGGCCATTGATTTTCCTGCTTTCTTTTTCATGTTGAAAATGTAATAAAAATCTAGAAGCAATAACACAAACAATAGAAATAAACTAAAATTATAAAGTCATTTGATCAGCAGTAATAAAGTTTATCAGTATTTATTACACAAATGTTTAAACACCAGAGAGGAAAGAATAGTTTTTAACAAGCATTCAAGAAAACACAGCAAAGCGAGTTAAATGTGCCTTTCTGGGAAGAGCATTGCAGAACAGAACTAAAAAGGCCCTTTCTCCACAGTTATCTGTGTATACATTCTAGAGGAATTAATGAAAGTTAAAGTGTTAGTTTTGGAGCTATCTATTATCTTACATGCATTTCTTCATAAGCATTAATAATGTCACTGTGTACATACCTGGTAATGTTAGTAAAAACATCATTTGCAAATTTCAAGTGTGTGATTTAACATTTCTATAAAAATTATTAAAGTACACTGTAAATAAAGTTTTTTACTTATGTGGAAGATCACCTTCAGACATTTTTGTAACTGGTACACAAACTGACATTATTGACAGCAAGAAATACTTTACCTGTATCCCATTTCGGAAGCTTCACAAAAACTGAAGAGTGTAAGAGGCATATTTCTAACCCTGTGTGACATACTGGAAAACATTACAGGAACTCATATCATCAGGTAAGAGTTTCTTTTTCTTATGTATTTTTTTTTCTTTTGCCCTTTTTATTTACTGTCTAACCTGCTCATACTATACACAGGATGTACAGTGGTGCCTCGCTTAACGAGCGCACCGTACAACGGCGAAATCACATAGCGATCCCTTTTTTGGGATCGCTAATGCGATCGCTCAACGACTTTTAGATAGGGCAAAACTCGCTTTGCGATGATTGGTAAGCGTTTCGCTTACCGATCTTCGCAAAACGAAGCCCCGACGATCAGCTGTTCGGCGGACAAAATGGCTTCCGGAAGCCCCAAAATGGCCGCGCGCAGCGTTTTTGCGCCTTCCCCTCGCTTAACGAGGGTGCGAAAATGGCTGCCGGCCATAGGAAACTTCGCTGAACAGTGAGTAAAGGAGCCTTTTGGAACGCATTAAACGATGTTTAATGCATTCCAATGGCTTTCCCTGTCCCGTTCAGCGATGTTTCACTGTAAATGTAAAATATATCTGTGACAGGCACAGATTCTAGTTTTAAATTAATAATCTTGTCTTGTGTAAATTGACAGTTGATGGAATTTTCATGCACAGGAATTGTAAAAAGCTAATTGAAAAACTGTAATAGATTAACTTTGAAACTAAAAACTCTAAATCACAAATCAGGAACAGAAACCTAGGTATCCAATGCTACCATTTCACTCACAGAAGCAGCTTCCACAAGTGCAAGCAGGAGGGAGATAATCCCCCTTCATCTTTTCCTTACAGGCCAAAAAAATTTGCTTCAGAGTGTTGGAAATTCTATGGAGCCAGTTTTCAGTGACGGAGAGGCCTGCAGGTAGAAGCAGCTGAAACTTGGCACATTGGACTTTAGCCTACGTTTTTTGTGCTTCTAGTGGCATCCCCTCCCTGCCATATTCTTTTTAGGCTCAAAATCAGCAAGACACTATCATAGAGCCTTTTTGATAGCTGATCAAATGTATGGAGAAGGTGTTGAATCATGTATTTTTGTATCATTGTATGTGTTTTCACTATGTATTGTTTAATTTGTGTTGTCGGCTTCCTTTTTATAGTTCATCTATGTTTTTATGTGGGAAACTTATCCATGTGGCATACTGGAAGGAATCTGACAAGCTTCTTGTAATTGGTCTCCCAGCTGAAAGGTAAATTTGCAAGATAAGTTTCCCCACCAGCACTTTAAATTTACTGACTGGATAATTTTTCTCTTAAATGTTTTCAAATATTATGCATAAATGTCATATAAAATTAAAATATCAGTTTTCTCACATTCTTTCTGAAGAATGTGTGAAGTCTCTTACACAGTAAAACAAAATTGTTACCTAGAAATATCTAACAGTTTTTACAATGATAGCCCAAAGCCATTCTGTGTGTGTGTGTGTGTGTTTTAGTGATTACTCTGGTTTTCTGGATTCTGTGTGCTGAAATAAAGAGGTGGGAGGGGGCTACCATCTTATTCATTGTACTAAGTCACTACAACTTAGTGGTTATTCTGATTTTCTAGTGTACCACTCTCTCAGTTAAGGAACATGGTGGCAGATGTTGTCCGAACATTGACATTCATGTATAGCTCTCTGGACAGGTAGGTATTCTTTGAAATACTCTGTACAGTATTGTAATAGTAAATCCTACTGCACATCTGGGGTTTGCTCATAATATTATATTGCATAATGTTTGAGAACATAAGGCCCCATCTTTTTATTGTAAACTACTCTTGAAAGTTATGTCTGTTTCAAAAGCAATTTCCCTTATAGCACTGGGGTGCTGTTGAAGAAAATCTAGTTATTTTGGGGGTGCAAAATTATTTATTTGGTATAGGTAAATTTACATATTTCCTAAGTAGTAAAATAGCTTTTGACTAAATTCATTTATTAGTCTAAGAGAGATTAGCACGGGCTTTAACTTAACAGTTAACGCAAGTCCCATTGATTCAGTAGATCTGTTCTAGTTAGGACTAATCATAGGGTTTTGCCCAGTAATTTACCATTTCACTTTCTGGAAACTGCAAAGGCTCAGAAGGATACTTTAAAACTGTTCAAGGGCTTGAATGCACCCTGTGACCCTTTCCTATTTTATTTTGATATCTCAAAATATTTTAAAAGCAGATTTAGGAATGCTTTTACATGTGGCTTAAAGAACTGTTGGTTGAGAAAAAGTGTCCAATAGGACAGAGATGTTCTAACCAATATGAGTCATCTTTCAGGACGTAGGAGCTCTCTTGAGTCTAATCTTAATCCTGTCTAGTAATAGAACTGATTGCCAGTTTCTTTGCATCCTGGGCAAAGTTTTAATATTGTGAAAGCATGCTTTCCAGTCAAAATGTGGAAGGCAGTTTCGAAACAATGGGAAGCATCCTACTGAGTTTCTGCTGAATGGAAAATCCCATGCAGGATTGTGTTCCTTCAGCATTATGCATGTGGTGATTTACATGAAGAAAACCTTTGTGAAATGGCAGCACTTGTGTGAGCAGTGCAGTTCTACATTCCTCAGCAGGATACTGCCTAATGCATTCTTTCTTGTACTTTCCCCTCTCAGCAAGTATTTGTATGCCAGTAGAAAAGCACAGATGTGCCCTGCTATAAAATGTTGTCCCCCTCAGAAGGTTAATTGTCATTCAACAGAAGAATGACTAAAAGGAATCCCAGTTAGAAAAATATTTACAAGAGGTTCTGAAATGTGTATAATTGAAATTTTCTCCCTCTCTTTCCTGTACATACTGTTTGGATTTTATATTCCAGATGCCTGCTTCGTCCATTTCTTGTTCTTGCTTTTCTTTTCTTTCCACTTCTGCCTTGTGACCTTTATATCAACCTGTAGCATCATGTCATAAAGCATCTTCTACTCAGCTTATAGTTCAGAAAAACAGTGTTTTTCTTGTTCTGATGCTTGCTTTATATCTGTACAGTGCTTTTTGTCAGGTGGAGAACATTTCCCGGTTGGATCACTTCTTTAGCCTGTTCTTCCAACAAGCCCTTCGACCTGCAGAGCTCAACTCTGGTGCCAGCCCTAGTTCTGATCACTATGATAAGTGCAGTGCATTGCTTTTATATGGCTTTCCTGGAGTGCGATGGCTGTCTCTGCCACAAGAAATTAAGGTAATTGTGCCTACACATTTCTAGAGAAGTGTCAGGATAAAAGATAAGACTGGGATAGCTAGAATTCCAAAGGCACATACAGAATTCTTTACATGTTTGTGTTAGTATAATATATATGGGCTACATGTATTATCCCCACAGAATATCCCCCCATCTTGCAATTAACATGCAGCTTGTTCTTGAACTGCCTCCCATGTGCTACTGAAGACTACCCATAATTTACTTCTATCTAATAGACAGATGATACATTTGAATGCCCCTTCCTTGTATGTTTCCATGTTTTTGGTTAACTTTTCAGGAGAATGTATGATTTAAAATGTTTTTTTCCCCACTCCAGTATTTTTGGAGTGATTCTGCTCTGATGTCAACTTGCATTTTTTGATGGATTAGTTTTTAAAGAGCAGTTTGTACTAGAAAAGTTGTTTACCCTATTATTAAGTAGAAAGCTAGCACTGATCCATAAGAAAAACTGAGAAAATTTGATCTGTTTCGGGCAGGCATATGTTTTCAATCAGAGGCAAGAAAGAAAAGAAAAACCCATTGATTTGAACATCATCTGTGTGGTTTACAATTCTGGCAGCATTGGTTGAACACTAGTGTTTCTCACCAAGGTTCCTTACTTACATGCTCCATAGGGAGTGGTTTACTCTTCTTACAGATTAAGTCCTTTTCGGTTTTGTGCTTATTTATGGCTTCCACCTTTGAGAACAATTACTTGTATCAGTAAATCAAAGCTACTACTTGTAAAATGTATTGTAACCAGCTAAATGCTGAAGTGTGCAGGTTTAGTGCTTTTTAGGTGAAACAAAAGTAATTTGTGAGAATGTTTTGGAAAGTTTCTGTGCAGACAAAAGTTAAAGCCAGAATAAAAAATATTTTTCTAGTAACTCAGTTGGGTGCTAAAGCTTTGCCAGATTTCCAGGCAACTTGAAGCCTTGTTTAGTCCATAAGAAAGTGAGATTGACATGTTCTTTATATTAATCAGCAGGTTTAGGAGCTCGGAAGAGGAATAGTTTTCTTTTATTTCTAAAATGAGAAATGTACAACTGCAGGATGCTTTTCTTTTGGCCCTGCTTACAGCAGTCTGCAAGATTTGGCTGAAGTTCTCGAATGGCATACGCAACTGCTATTAGTTCTATGGGCTATGGGGAGTTGTTTTAAGCGCTGTGACATTAATGAAAGGCGTTGTCATTATTGGGGATACATTTTGTGGCAACTTGTGTTGATTTCCTTTTTTTACATTTCAGATAGAAATTGATACAGCTTTGAGTGACTTGGAGTCTGCAGACTTTGGAGAACTAGTAAGCAGCCTATTCCTTATAAGATACATTAGGATATCCATGTCAGCCCTCAGAGCTCACTTATTGTCATAGTGAAACTCTTATAAAAATGATAAATGATAATTTATGCTTGGACTAAAATCAGGGATTAGCATTGGTAACCTGCTGAAACGTTTGCCTCAACAAAGGACCCACTGCTGATGTTTAGAGCTCCTTGATCCTGCTGATCCTTCTGTTTGGTCTTCCTGACCTTCAGACTTGGAGAAGAGAAAGTGAATGGTGACAGGAGTGCAGATAAGGAGTGTTGGCTGTCCTCTGCTTCCTTGCTTTCTTAACTGTTGAACCAATCCAACTTACATGCTGTTGGAAAGGCAAGCAATGGTGCTGCTTCTCTCGGTTGCCATTGCTTTTTTTCTCTCTTGAGAATGAGTAACAATTTGCATGTTTGCCTCTCTTTCTGAGCTCAATAAGGATTGAATCCAGCAGGGAGCAGGAGAGGTAGCAACAGCAACAGCAAAGAGGTAGGAAAGTCACTGAAGGAGAAGGCAAAGTGGGTCACTGATCCTCTGTTTCTTAAGGATCTTTGAGAACGTGGAGTCAATACTAGTTCATCCTTGTTCTTGAAGCATTAAAAATGTTGTGTGCTTATTCTGACATTTTGTTATTGTTTCTTGCAAATAGTTTATTTGTGCTTGGATTTCTTCTCACAGCTGTCGTTCACTCCAAGGACATTATATAGAAGCTGTGTCTGTGCAAAACTTGCAGGTTCAGCAGATGAGGTGGGGAAGGGTGTAAGCCTACTTATAGGGATAGGATCAGGTTTTGGAGCTCAGTATGGCACAATTTGAAAGCTCTTCAAACCTTCATGCAGAGTACCAATTTGTCAATGTTTAGCCAATCAATAAGATGCAATGAAGCATCTATCATTCTTTATCTATAACTCATTATAATTTCATAGAGTTGAAAGAAAAGATAAATTTGAAAAATACCCTTCATAATATTGTTCTTTAGATTAGTGAAGAATATATGGATGTATGACATTCACAGAAATAAACTGTGTGTGTAAAATGATCATTTGGATGTCTTTTGTTCTGGACATATTTTACCAAAAATAATTTTGACTGTTAGTACATTTTAAAGATTTCCTCAGACGATTAATATTCAAAGTAATTAAACTGTATGGTAACGAGAATATAAAGCTAACATTCATTTTATTGAAAATTTTGTTTTCTTATATGGAAATAGTTTAGTAAACAACAAATACATAAGTAAGGCATTTTTAAAAAAACGAGAGAGACTGATCATTGTCTGTCCCTTATCACTTCTATTATAAATGGAATATACAAGTGTTTTAGCATTCTGTAAACATGAGAAGTTATGATTTTCTGTTTGTACTGAAAGATGTCCCTCTGGTGGTGAAAGTAACATTTAGATCAGTAGTTTTTAAACACTGGAATCTAAAAGTAGTTTAGTCTCTTTCTATAAACCCAGATTCCTTTTGAAAAGTAACTCAGATTTGTCTAGTGATAGTATGAGTTTTATCCATCTTGAACAAACAATTGGAATTCTAATGTGAACATTTAGAATGAAATTTGGAACACTGGAATGTCTGTGCCATATATGTCTATTAGAACTCATCTGCCAGTCAAGGAAGGAAGGAAGGCATTGTGGGAAGTTAAAGTATTCTGTGAAACAGTATCCTTCCTAAAACAATACTTGGAAAAGCCAAGATCCAGAACTGTAACTTTATTATGCTATTCTTTTCAGTCTGAAGATTATTATGACATGAGACGGCTTTATACTATATTGGGCTCATGTCTCTTCTACAAGGTAAGTTTCTGAAACCATCATAAAAAAATGTTTACTCTTAAAATACTGATGCCAGCCTTAATTGAAGAACACTCCAAAGTTGTGACTTAAGAAAAAGTAATGCTGATTGAAGACTTTCTATAACAGCTATAACTGTAATGGCACTTCTGAGATTATGGTTCTTAGCACAATCTTGTCACTAAGACCTTGTACTATTGTTAAACGTGAGTGCATTTATTATGTTCCTTTTGATCTTAATCTGTTTTCTTCTTTTGTGTACAATTTATCTAGCAGTGTATAAAGTAGAAAAGAAGGCAGTAGTTCTAGTTCTTAAAATCAGTTCTTAAATGATTTCACACTTGTGAGTGTATATATATTCTTTTATATAAATAGACATGTTCCATAAGGAACATAATTAAGTCGCTTATGCTGCAAAATGAAATACTGCAATTTGTCATTATTCAAATCTGATTTGTGTACTGCCTTAGTTGCCTCATCTCAAAAAGCATATTATAGATGTGAAAAATGCAGAAAAGGCATGATCAAAATAATCAAGGGGTGGAGTAACTCCCTGTAAGGAAAGAAAAAAGAAGAGAAGGGAATAGAGATGTATACAATTGTACACATAGCAGGCTGATGTTTTTCTCCCTCTTCATAGTACTAAATCCAGGTCTTGTTGAAGCTGAATGATGAGTTTCAATACAGGCAAAACAAAGGGTTTCTCTATAGAGCACATTGTTACACAACAGAATTCACTACCAGAAGATAATACCAGTCTTGTGTGTCTTTGAAATGGGATTAAACAAATCCACTAGTGAAAGCTGTATAGTAACTCCAGTATCAAAAGTGGTTCTTAGTACCATTTATGGGTAACATGAGTGGGAAGGTGCTCTTGTACTCATGTTCTGCATGTGGGCTTCCAATAAGCATCTAGTTAACCTCTGTGGGCAAAGAATACTGATCTTGACAGATCTTTGATATGAGCCAGCATGGGTCATCTTTGTTCTGGACCAATCAAGTTTGTTGGTTGGTTGGTTCATTTGTTGGTTGGTTCATTTATATACTGCCCCATTAATGCAGAGCACTATTCTAAAACAAATTATTTCATCTTGTATGCTAATATATATATCACATCACATCAACATCACTATTTTGGCAGTGTTTCTGATAAAATGCAATTGACACTGATATAGTTGCATTGCCATCTTGCAGGATAACTAGTTTATCACAAAACAAACACCAGTCTGTGACTAAGGAAAAGCTAATTACTGTAATGTCTTGATTTTAATAGCACCAGATGAAAAATAGAGACCTATTTTGTATTATATTCTGCTTGCGTTGCCCTTGCATTATTTTCAAACAAGCATACGTATAATGCATTCACATGAATGTGGGTGTGTCCAAGTATATGTATCACTGTGCACATGAGATTGGATTGGTTCTCAACTCAGGACACAATACTAGATTTTGACAAGGCGCATGTCATTCTTGCATTCCGTGTCTAGTCGTGCTGGCCACATGACAATGGCAACTGTCTTCGGACAAACGCTGGCTCTACGGCTTGGAAACGGGGATGAGTACCGCCCCCTAGAGTCGGACACAACTGACTAAAATGTCAAGGGGAACCTTTACCTTTTTAATGTCATTCTTGAACTTATTAGTTCATTGCTGTTGCAGATCTCTGTGTTGATTCTACCTTGTATTATAACTTAAATGCTATTTAATACTAGGGTGAGACAACCAAATTGCATAAAAGTGCAAAACAGTGGGGAGGGGGGAACAACTCCAGAAACAAGTTGCATTTTTCTATTTTATTACCTTTCTTGATACCTGGGGATATTAGTGCATGATTGGTACAGCTCAGTTTGCCCAGTGATGGCAGACAGCTATACATGTGCAATAATGTCCTAAAGTAAAAATAGCAAGATGCCTTGTGGCACCTTAAAGATTAACCGGGTTTAATTAGTATAAGCTGCAACCTACTTTATCAGATTCAAGAGCTGCAATCCGTGAAAACCTATGCCAGATAAAACTTTCTATTTTGAAGGTTCCACAAGACTCTTATTCTGTTTTCTCCAACAGACTCACTCCTGAGAGACAAGCAACATGTAAAACAGAGAAACACGCTAACGTGGTTATTCTTCTGAAAATTTTGCTAACTTTTGTTTATTTGCCATCAGGAGAAATAGTAGCTTGTTTTAGTTATGCTTTCTCATATACAAAATACAGTTAATTAAATGAAGGGATAAGGTGTATTGCAGAGTTAGGTTACTTTACAGAAAATGTGAAGGGGTATTGAGCAGGTTTACAGAAATGTGAAATGATAATCTGTGGAAAGGCATATTTTTCAGCTAAGCATGTAAGCCCTTTCTAAGACTCAGTTTTTCTCAAATATTAATATCACCTTTTAAAGATATATCTTAATTTTTTTAAATAAATGTATTCCACACATTACCACTTCAAATATAAATTGCACAAAGAAGGTTACAAATAATCTTGAAGATTAAATAATTATTTTGTAAAACAAAATTGAAGTTGGGTTTCTAGGAAACTTTGATAGATTGGTTCCTGGCAGACATTTTAGTCTTTGGCTGCTATGAAAGAAAGCATGAAGCCCGTGTCTGTAGAATACTCTGAAAATAAAACTATTTGTTTTCCACAGTATTTTGATTTTTTGTCTCTTCTTTCTAAATTCAGGGATATTTAATTAGTAATCACTTGCCCAAAGAGAACCTCATTGATATTGCATTATATAGCAGGCATTATTGCCTCCTGCCCTTGGCATCAGGAAAACGTGTTGGTCAGTTGGTAATATGGCGAGAAGTGTTTCCACAACATCATTTCCAAGTATGTAATACATCTTATGAAGGATATGGAGAACCCAAAGGAAGATATTTTTTACTCATAGTTGGTTTGGTAAGTTTTGTTGGATATTTTCCTGTAAAAAATAATATTCAGCCTACAGTGAGCATATGCCATGAGCTGGGAGCATTTCCTTTCTATCGTGCTATTTTCCAAGTATCTTTTGCCTGAGCAACAAAGGAGGTCCTGCTTCAAGTATAGTTCCCACTCCTTCATAGAGGAAGTGGGTGGTCATGGGAATCAGGGCCTACTCAGTCACAGCACTCTGCTTTTGGAATGCCCCATCCAGAAATATTTGGTTATTAGATATTTATTTACAGAACTAATTATGATGTTTGACTCTGTTATACATTCTGGTTTCTATGTTTTGCATTAATTGATGGTTTTATTCCTATTAAGGACCATGCTAAGGGGATTAAATGGATTTAATATCTAAAATAAATCTACCAGGAAAACTCTTTTTCTCCCTATTTTCTTACAGAGACATTTTATGTTGAGTGTTTTGTTAGAAGCAGGTGGTTGTTCTTCCAAAGCCATTGGAAATCCAGGACCAGATTGCATATATGTGGATCAGGTCAAAGCAACTATCCTTCAGTTGGATGGAATAGAACTGAGCATAGATGACACGTTAGAATCGCCTTCCACACCATTGGTGTCTTGCATAGATTGGTTCTTCCCTTCATCACATGACAAACTGGAGAGCTTGGCCAACTTGTCTCTTCTCAACAAACTGCAGCATTCATCAAACACCAGAACTTCTCCAGCAAGAAATAGAGTGACTTCTAGCAATCCGGCATTAAGGATGCGTAGGCCTAGCCCTTTAAGAAATAGTGGAGGTTCTGACAACATTAATAACAGTCATGAAGTACGAAGTGTGAGCTCTAATGTATATTCTGCCCAATCCAAAAGTCCAGGTGGATTTGATGGAAGTAGTAATGTCTTTAAGGTATTGTATTTTTTAAAAAAATTAGCTTTAAAACATATATTGCTTTAAACATATATAGCTTTAAAACATATATTGTTTCATTGGTACATCAGAAGATTCTCCAGACTTACTTACTTTCACTAAACTTCTAAACTATTCTCCACCATTTGCATTTAGAACACCTGCAAAAATGACCCTGCAATATAGGAGTAATACACATACAAATATATTTGATGCAGTTACATAATCTTGTTTCTAAAATATACTGGATGTTATCATTGAAAACTGAAGAGTCATTAAATGATTTCTGTTTTTTCACAGCATTAAAAATCCTTTTAATGTTCTGAATCCCTTTGCATAGCTTTATCTTTCCCTTCCAGCTATTTTCTGCAATTATTACTCCACACTGTTCATCCAAAAAAAAATCTATGAAGACATTTAAAAATTGCAATATTTCTAATCCTATACAGAGCAAAGAATCATGGATGATAATTGAATTAGATCAGTGAAACTTATCAAAAGTACAGTATATGACTTCATGAGGAAATTTATGTCTATTCCCAATTAACAGAACAAATCAGATTCCTTTTTAATAAAAGTTGTATTTATGTTGGTGCTGGAAAATTTACATTTTAATACAGTAACTTTCACAAATAATATGGTGTATCATTAATACAACAGAATAAAGTAAGTGCACAAACTGCTGAACTGACTTTAAGGAAAAAAACCTCTTGACAACTGAATTAGCTTGCTGTAAGATTTTGGTGTTTTTTTTTCTTTTCAGATTCCTAAAAAGAAGAATGTTCTCTCAAACCCATTTAATTTAGGAACTCTGAAAAAGAATTTTTCAGAGAAGGAAGCTGAACTATATAATGTTATGAAGTAAGAGTTCTGTTTTATTTATTTAACACTGTTACTTTATTAGTCACTATAGTTGTATTTTCGCTAATGAATAAAAAAGAAAGGATGCCATATATATATATATGATTTCTATCCCACCTATCTAGACCAAAAGTCTACTCTGGGCAGATCTGTTGTGACCCCCAGATCTGTTGTTGAGTGTTGTAGAGTACATTGGAAAGGGCTCCAAAAGAAATGTTGGATGTATCCATTTTATGTGACTTATCACTTGGGCTAAGTCTAGTTCAATGAATTGTTAAAACAATGGTTTGCGTGTAGAAATATGTTGGTCAGTTCATGCTTTTAGAAAAGAATCACATTTCCTAATTTGGGGAATTATGGAAGTAGTTCTTGGTGGCTTCTTGAGCTTGGACATTTTATCTAGGTAGACTGCCTACAAGAAAGAAAGAAATACTTTTTAGTGGTGAAAAGGCTTTTGCCAAACCCAGATGTTGGTGAAAGAGATTGGAATGAACACCTCATATCAGTTGCATTTTAAGCCATTCTTTCTCCCCAAATAATTCATAAGGCAAGCTAAGTGTCTCTATTGTCCACATATCGGCTGCCAATTTCAGTTGAATACATAAGGAATGAAATTACAATCTGACCTGCTTCAACAAGTTACAGTATTTTTCTTTCCTTTGTTCTCATTCCACCCCACCCTGTTCCCTGTTGTGGGTACAAGTAATATATTTACATTTTTGTTCAAAAACCAAATCTTATTTTTAAAAATTTTAGCTGAATAAAACAGCACAGAGTTAAGAGAGAGATTGTAACTTTCTGTGACAGAACACACCAGATGAGTGCAAAGTCATTCTAAAGTACATAATTCTGTAAAATTCTGCTGATCTTGTACAGTGTAGCAGATTTCAATGTGCATACTGTTGACCTTTCTGTATTTGTTCTGGGATTGCTAGTAAAAACTTGAATCCATGTCTAACTAACTAAATTCCTCCTGTGCTGGAAAGTAATGCAGGAAATGTAAATCTTACACTTAACCTAACTAACATGTGAAGGATAAGCAAAATTGATTCTCAAGTCTTGATTCAATTTTTTTTTCTTCTATTAACTGTCAGGGAAATAACAGGCTCTCTTCCATGATGACAGATGCACAGCATTTGCTGCAGAGCAATTCCTGTCATGCTATATCATGCTGTAGGTTTATATGATATATATTAATTTTTAGATGTACTGTTATAGTTTATATCACTTTTGTCTGTGTGTCCTTTTTGGCTCCTCTATAGAGCAGGCCACAAATCTGCTCAATAAAGTACAAGTACTCATAAAGGACATGTTCTGTATTAATTAGTATAAAAACAGTCCATGTTTTTATTTACAAACCGTATGGTGGGTTGCTCTGCATATTGGTGTTCATTCTAAACTTGGTCTAATAACTAGTTGTTGTTGTTTTTGCTCTTGAAGGCTGACATCTGGTCCTGAGAACACCCTATTCCACTATATTTCTTTAGAGACAATGCATGGAATTTTTATCACTCCAACACATGCTGAAGTAGAACAGCTCTGTGGGACTATCCATCGCCAACTCATGAAGAACTTCCATCGCTGTTGCCTTTCCATCCGTAGTATCTTACAGCAAACTGTGATGACAGAAGTATAAATCATTACCTTTAATTATTTTTTTGGGGGGATTATTTTATTACAGAGAGAGCAGTCCTATACCTTTCTATTCAGAATTAAGTCCTGTTGTATTAAGTGAGTAAACAAGTATAGGATTCAGTGCAAGTCTTTTTACAACAGAGATAACTTCTTTATTTCTCTCATAAACTTTAGACAAGTGTTGAAAATCAGACTACAATCCAGATACATGTCTGCGTCATACATAAAGAAATCTGGTCATTTTGCATTTACTTAGAGAGCAGCCCATGGGAAGGAGAGGAGCAAGAGCTAAACCATGTACCACAAGTGTACCTCTTGACAGGATCTTGTGGGGTCAGAAGTACTGTTTAGAACACAGTAATCTTGCTATTGAGAACAATGAGTCCCTGGCCCTGACACTTATAGAGAAAAGAGTGTGCTTGCATATATACAGTTATTCTAAGAACTTCTAGTTCCAGATATCTGTGACAATTCTCAGTTATACAGGTGAGAGTATTTGGAAGCCGAGTCAAGGCAACTGGACTTCTTTCTTGTTAAGGTCCGCTACTCATCCAAGTAGCTTCTTCAGTCTGAGGAGAGTTGGTAGGAGATCCCTGATACAATCTGTCTCCTATTTATCATTCTGCCTTTTCATTCATCCCCAAAAAGAATAGGATCACACACACTAGAAAGACCACTGTTAATGACTGTTAACAACCCATGACAATTGGCGGAGAAGGACTGCAGAAGTGGGATTATCCCTCACCCCCAGTCCTTTGTCCTTATAACAAGCCTATTCAGACCAGGGGGAAGTGAAACCAATCTGGAGGATATATCAGGGATCTACTAGTTCCAGAGTTCCTTATCTAGAGGCAAGTGGGAGAAACAGCTGGTATAAGGAGGAAAAGCACCATAATCCAGCTCTAGACTTTTACAGCAAAACCAATAAAGATTCTTATGATGCCTCAGAAACTAACACATCTGTTCTGTCGCAAACTTTTGTGGTAGCATGAAGGATGACCCTCAGTTGGTAGGAACATCATAAAACTGATGGATTTTTATTCATTTTAACTGGGGCTATTGCAAGGTTCCCTCTAAGGTGCATGCCTACTTAACTCTGCCCCCCCTTTCATGCAGCCTTCCTCCTCCACGCACCAACAGCAATTGTTTTCAACCTCGTTGGTTCTGGTCGTGACAGAACCCTAGTCAGCAGACTCCTGCCCAGCGGGGCTGAAAATCAGAGGGAACATCAGATTGTTGTTTTTAATAATTTCCAGGCAATAGTCCTATTTATTCCCAGAGACAATGGTGCTGATAGGATTTGTAGATCAGAGAGATGTGATTAAATGTGTAATCACACATGCTAGTAATCTGAACATACACACCATTTTGCTGTGTTTGGGAGTTTGGTAGAAAAGACCAATGTGATCTGCATTATAACTTCTAAAATGTAGAAAACATTGTTTCATAAAGTAAATAGAAACTCTTCTTTAATGATTCATGGGGGAGGTGACATATATAGGAAGACACCCATGTCTTTACACCCCAATGATCTATGTGCCCTGGTTTTAGCATAGTGATTGCTGAGACATAGGTATATGTGTTTTATCCAAGAAGCAAGTTTTGGTATATGTACTTTTACTTTTGTCTTATTACAAATACGTTCTTATATGTCAGTAATGTTTTAAAATAACACAGATATAACCATTTTTGGTATAAGAGCTGAACAAAGTGAGTGAAATATGGTTCAAGCAAAGTATTTTGACTGTTCATTTTAGTAAGATATACCCCAAGAGGCATATTTGTTGATCGTTTTCTTAATAATTCTTCAACATTTATCTGTGGCACTGTGCCTGGATTTTATATCTACAGCCAAGCCACTTTGGAAATAAATATTCCACTAAGAAAAATTACCACAAATGCTATACTTCTTCAATTTGAAAATTTCCAGGTATAGCTGACTAGACTGTTTTTCAAGATGAATTTATTCATATAAACACCTCCTCTTAATACTGCACCAGATTCACAGTACTGTATATTTGGTGATTCTGCTGTATAGTGAAAATAATTTTCCTTGTGCCAGTTTCTTTTATTAACCATTTTGGCAATTTTCATTGCAGACCAAGAAGACTGGGCAAAATTTAGACTCCAAAAAAGCAAATTCTGAGTTGCATAAAGTGAAAGAACATGGTGTGCTCTTTGAATGCACTCCTGACAATTGGAGTGACCCAAAGAAACCCCCACCAAGTGTAACATACTGGGTTGTAGGGTAAGTCAAAACGTAGCAAAGGCTGAATCCAGTATGTGGAAATACCCATAGAAAAAAACATAAGAAAAATCTAAAGAGGTGTTTTCAAATGTTATCATTATATTTCTATGTACTGTATAATTCTATTTGATAGGACCTGGACTCAGTGATTTATAGGGTTCCTTCCAGTTCTGCAGTTCTAAGATTTTTGTTTTTGTTTTTGCTGTTATTTTCAGATCTTCAGTAAGCCCTGACAAAATAAAAACTGTCTATAGAATAGTCTAAAGACCTTGTTCTGACTCTGAGTTTTGTTTTTTCTACAGGAGACTGTTCCTAAATCCAGCCCCTCGGGAGATTTATGTTTGTTTTCATGATTCAGTCACAGAGGTTGCTGTTGAACTAGCTTTTAAGCTATCCTTTGGCTTAGCTCTGTAGATTTGTTTAGCTGTACTGCCATCACAAGCAAAGCTGTAAAACCTCCCTAGGCACTTGGTGCACAAATATGAATTGTCATGGTTTTGTCTGGGCATTCTTTGGAATTTTCCTCTGGAATAACCTGCTCTATGGATAAATTTTTAAAACATTCATAATAACACTTGGATGTCATCAACTGCTCTTCTCAAAAGAATAACCTCAAAATACTTTGGGGGAAAAATCTTTTTAAGTTGTGATATATCTGTGCTATGAAGTTACAAATTTTCACATAGAAGGGCTATACTTAAGAAATGTATGTAGCATACAATGTGTACACATGCATTTTTCTTGGAGATGTTTCCTGCTCAGCAGACGCTTCCTTAAAACCTCCAAACATTACAGACTTTATCCAATAAGGTTTATGTGCACCTTCTGAAAGATCAGACACAAAGAAAGCACTTGTGCATCCACTGTTCTGGACCTCAACCAAGGGAGCATATTATACACTTCACTATATTTTGTGTTATACAAAGCACTCAAGGACTTATGCTTGGAATTCTGGGGTGAAAGTTCAATTATGGGGAAAGCCTTGAATTTTTTCTGGCATTATTTTATATAATAAAGGAGACTACCTTACTTTAAAGGGCTAAAATATTTTGTAATATAAAAATGTTATCTATAATTATGCAAATTTTAAAAATACTTGCTGTATAGTTAATAGAAGAAGACAAGCATAGGGAGATATTTACAATTTTGTCTCACAAACTTTCTATATATTATTTTTGTATGATTTTTCTAACAATAAACTATTTGAAAAAAACTCTTGTTAATGAAAATCAAATACAATTCTACGAAAGCAAAATGTTCAGGACACTCCTTTCATTAAGTCACAACACAGTCATAGTGAATTTGCATTAGAGATTAGGATCTGCTTTATACTGTTAGACCATTTTTGTGGAATCAGTTGTTGTTGGCCTTAAGTGGCCCTGTCTTTCTAGAGGTTAAGGGTCACACTGGACAAGGTATCATTCAAGCCATTGTAGAAATTACTCTAGAAAAATTAGAACTCCAGGGCTACTGATCTGGACTGTATACATACTGGTTACTTACATCACTTTCTTCATTGGGATTTCACATCCAGCTCTCAAAGGGCACCCATCATTTGTGATAAAATGATAAGGAATCCCATGCACTTTAAAGACTTACATTTATTAAAGCTTGCGTTTTTGTGGACTGTTAGCCACTTAAACTGTATTAACATGGTATACTTTAAGAGTCTAGTTTGATGCAATTACTACAGTGATAGGATCTTAGTACATGGCTGCTAATTTGAGACATCATAAAGAAGCATTAGTAATATTCTCATTTGAAGAGATTATGTTCAGTAGGGTTCTGCATACAAGGAGAATATACTCATATAACAGATCTCAAGCATGATATTGAATCAAGCATGACTAGTTGTTCATACTGTGTTGGTCCAGAACAGTACAGAAAATACTGGCTGAAATCCTCTCGCTTTGTATAGGAAGTTGCAACTAGAGTAGGCCCGTCAAATCAGTGGACATTTGGCAAGTCTTCCTCCAAAGGTTCCACTGATTCAACAGACCTACTCTCCTTGTGACGAAAAGCGACGGTTTCATCCACAAATGTGTACCTACTGGCTTTCACTGATCATGCTGAAGGGGGGAAAAGGCAAGGTGACAAACCCTTTGTTTAATGTTTTCTCTATTTTTGGGCTGAATTTTCCCCTTGCTAAGGTGGTAACCTTTGTCATATAAAGACACATTGGATCTCAAATCCAAGCCCCATTTCTCTCCGTGCACTTTTGGAAAGCTTGCTTACTGAATCTCGCTCTCTTTCAGCAAAAAGCAAAAAGTGCTGCTTATATACTGCCCCATAGTGCTTCAAGCACACACTGGGCGGTTTACAAGTGAATTTTGCAGGCTACACATTGACACCCCCCCCCCAGCAAGCTGGGTACTCATTTTACCGACCTCGGAAGGATAGAAGGCTGACTCAACCTTGAGCCGGCTACCTGGGATTGAACCCCAGGTCGTGAGCACAGTTTTGGCTGCAGTACAGCGGTTTAACCACTGTGCCATATTTTTTGTCTTTTTAAAGCACGCATAGTTCACCAAAAACCTTTTATTATTTTACAAGTGGGGACTGAGGGAAGAAGCCATCGTTTTAATGTTATAGAACCCAATGCTGTTGCTGGGTGTTTCTGTGATGTACAAGGGAAAGCAGGTGCTAAACTACTCTTCCCTGCCTCATTGCTAGGCCTTCAGTAGCTCTAGCCTGCTAGCAACCACCACTAACGTGTTCCAGAAAGCCCAGAATTTTCTTTGAGCCATCATTTTAATGTTATAGAACCAATGCTGTTGCTAGGTGTTTCTGTGATGTACAAGAGAAAGCAGGTACTAAGCTACTCTCCCCGCCTCATTGCTAGGCCTTCAGTAGCTCCAGCCTGCTAGCTACCACCACTAACTTGTTCCAGAAAGCCCAGAATTTTCTTTGAGAAGGGATGCTGCAACAGACTCCTGTGATTGGACACAGTTGGGTCATGTGGCTTGAGAACCAAGGCAGCTCCTCTGAATGGGGGAGGGGGAACCATTAGCTCTTTATGAGTAGTGGCAGTTAGTGCCATTGTCTGGCACCAGGTAATTAATGCCTTGTGGAAGCTCAACTTGTACCAAGAGCTCTCTGGTCACCGATCCCCGTCATGCAGGCCGCAGAAGGGAAGCAATTTTTTGATCCTGTCTCTTTTGGGAAGGACCTCATGATAGGTGGGGTGGCAGCAGCCATTTCCAAGACAGCAGTAGCACCCATTGAGCGTGTGAAATTACTGCTGCAGGTTCAGGCCTCATCCAAACAGATCCGTGCTGACCAGCAATACAAAGGCATGATAGACTGCTTTGTCCGCATCCCTAGAGAGCAAGGTAGGTCTTCTCCAATAGGAACCCCCTGCTTTAAATCTTACCTCTGCCATAGACACAAGAGGAAAGGGGGGGGTTGAGAAAAGCCTCCGCTGGGTCTACCCCTCTTGCAGTGTGGAAAATGATGATTATGGCCTAACTTCGAGGGTGGCTATAAGTGTTATTAAGGCACACATAGATCTATAATGATGTCTATTTTACTGGTAGTGTAGTTCATATTACATTTGCATCACAGTCTTCTATCCGCGACTTCTAGGCCTTTCATTTTAGGCTTATATGCTTTTCCATACCAGGCCACAATTTGTGTTGCATACGTATTAGCTCAATTTCCAACCAAATTATGGTTATATGTCACCTTCCGTAAGACTTGGTAAAGTGTAGCCCAGATATTATTTGATGGCAATTCTTAGTAACCCACATCAGCTTAGTCAGTAGCAAGGAATGCTAGGCATTGTAGTCTGAACGTGTTTAGAAGGCTGCATTTCACCCACTTCTGCCTTAGAGAATGTGTAATGCCTATAATTTGAAACTTAAAAACCAAACCAGTTCACCAACCAACAAACATATAGCCTGCCCTATTTGATTTATGCATCAAAGACTGGGATTCTGCATAGTTGAAGCTGCAATCCTAAACTTGTTCAAGCTGCAATCCTATACTGTTTGCTGTGAAAAGTATTAAATGCATCAGAGTGAAGTTAATCAACATACTTAGGCCCCTGTTGTCATCTGGGAGTTAATAAACAACAGTAATAAATGACAGTAAAAACATGAGTGAATACACACACACACCTACCTACCTAAATGTGAAATTGAGCTTTTGGAAGTAGAGGATTATATGTTTTGAAAATATTTCAGAAAAATTACTTGATGGACTGTGCCTTGGCCACTTAGAACATAAAAGCTTTGAGTACTTAAATTGAAACATTTTGGTTTCCTTTTAAAATAGTTTTCATGATGAAAATGTTTTTGATCCAACTCTTAATCATGATTTTACTTTCTTTTTATAAAGTCATACTAATTGAAAGCTATTGGATTGGATTAAATTGGGAGAGAGCTATACTTTCATGTGAATGAGCTAAAGCTTTTCTTTTTGTGATAGGAATGATTCCAGTCACTAGTGGGAGGGGTAATGAGAGCAGAGCTCCCATTAGGAGTTCCCAGACCAGGGAACACAAGAATAAAACATCAGTGCATGCAGCAAGTGATCTGAACCAGAGGCCTGAATACTGAAAAATAGATGGGCCCAAAGACCCTCTCCCCATTTCCTTTTCTAAATCTAGCTCATGAGGCTTCTTTCCTTCCTCCTTGTTGAGGTCACTTCCAGTTTGTTCCTCCTAGCTAGGAAATGGTAGCAGCACATAGCTGGTAGCCTGAGCAGGCTTGTATCCAGGTTTAGGGGTTTCTAAAATAAGTTTTAGCCATCTTTCCCCCTATGCTATGCATAAATAAATCCCCTAATGTAATAAAAATTACTTTTTTTGTTTAAAGCCAGTTTCTATAGTAATAATTGTTATCTGCAAGCTTGCATGCTGTGCGTTGGCAATACAAATACCAAATAATGTAAAAGAGCAAAGGACACTTACTTTCATCCTCACCCCATACCTTCTATTTCTTAAAGCACATTATCTTTATACTTGGAAGACCTCACAAGTATTTCAGCCCACATTTTCAAAACTTTGTGGAGCCAAGCCTTTTCTGAAGCTGTGCTTACATTCAAGAGTGAATCCTTTGATGTTTTCAGTCACTTAATGGGCCATTATGGATTTAAAATCCCCAAGTGAACTGCAGTGGTCCGGACTAATAATGTCCCAGATAAGCTTTTATACTGTAAGCTTTTTGTATACATCTAATGAAGCAAATACATCCAAAAAAAGAGAAGAAGCACATGTAATAATAACTTAGTTATAACATACTATAAGACTGTATGCTACTTTTACTTTAACGAACTGAACAAACACAGCTTCCCTTCTGGAATTTTATATACTGTATTTTGAAATATTTATAGAAATAAAAGTTGGTCGACCCATTATATACATTAGACAACAAAGATTATCTCCTGATGGCTGTTTTCTTGCTTTTCTATGCCTCCAGACAGATGGCTTATTCTTGCTTTCACTTAAATATCACAGTTTCCTCTCTCCATTGTTCCATTTGCCACAGTTCTAAATGTAGCTTGTAAAAATAAATAGATTCCTATTCTACCTGAGATTACACCAAGCTTTTGCAGATTTTTTTTGCATTTTTTTCTTGTTTCTGTAACAATTTCTCACAACAGGTTCACAGTATTTTTCAGTTCCTATTATAACTGTGCAGTAAGACCTTTCCTTCTGAGCATTTCAGCATATCCTGCTCTCTTTTAATACAACTTCACCTGTTTCTTATGCAGCACCCTTTATATTCAGAACCCCATCTTGAAACGTACATGTACTGTAGTTTAAATCCAGGTCTGGTGACCTCACACTTTTCTGCTCTTTCAAGTAACTCCTCATAAGACTTTCTTCTTATCACCTTAACTTTTACCCCCTCTCTGAAACTTTTTTTCTCTTATAATCTTATTTCTGTCTAGTTTTCATTTAGTATGGCACTAAAAAGCTGGCACAAGGGGCCCAAAAGAATTATGGTTTGTCTATTAAAAGGATTGAGCCTTGGCCTATTGGAAAGAAGATTCTAAAAAGTTGTTGTAACAAGCTTGGAAGATGTACTGTTTGTTTTCTAGGTTGTTTTTTTGCCTGCAGCTACAGCTTAGGGAAGGGGCAGCCTGACATGAATCCTGGTGACTCAGGGTGGATTTGATTTAAATAAAGAATTGTTTTTCTGATGAGTTACATTTTAAAAAAACATATAATACATTATGATAAGCAGATCTACATCAAAGAATGGATCTTTTGCAGGCTTTACAAAGATTATGAACACCAAAAACTTGCTGCATATATGCTTCCAATATCTTCAAAATCTTGTAAAGATCTATTCTAGACCTAAAAAAAGTCTTAGTGCCCCCTCTAGTGGAACCTTTAAAAACTGCACTCTGTCACCTCAATAGACCATTGAGAACTGTTGTATTGTGGCAGGTTTAGAAACTTGAGCCCATCACAGCCTGTTAACCTGTGCACTCTTGTTTCCTGCCATTTACTCTCATTTACTCTGGCTCTGTTGATACTACCGAGCATTCTACAATGGATGACCTATACTTCCAACCTCATTGTTGCTTTGTTACCATCTGTTTGCTGGCCCAGGATTTGTTTTAGGGTTCTTGTGTTGTGTTTTTTTTTTTTTTAATCTGGAATATTTGTACGGATATGTAAAACCATGGTACTTCATTAGAGAATTATAATAAGAATAATATGGGAGTGGAGGTTAGTTGCCTGTCTTCCAGCCTGAAGGGTTACAAACTGTGTAGTATTTTCTCCTGTGAATACCATATAATGCCATGTAATACCATATGATCACTTTTTTTCCTTTTTTGTGATTTTTAATGGAGGAGAAAGGAGCAGAAATGTACATTTATTTGGGAACATAGTGTGTTGCATGTTTTGTCCCATTTATAATAATAACTTTGTTTGATTATTTATGGTAGTTTTGGCACTTTTGAGTTGATAGAATCATAGAGTTGGAGGGGTCCTTATCTCATCCAACTTGCTCCTTAATGTAGCATATCGAGACATAGACCTTGCCTAACAATGTACTCTGCAATCTCTGCTTCAGCTCCTCCAGTGAAAAAGACTCCACCCTCCTCCCTTGCTAACTGTTTCCATTGTCTAAATGTTTTTACAACCAAGACACTTTCTACAATATTTAGCTAAAATCTACCCTCTTGTAACAATATCCTCTGAACCTTTTCCAGTTTGCAAGTATGGCATCCAGAAATGGACACAATATTCTGGATGAGTACAACAGAAACAAAAACCACACAGATTTCAATCTGTTGCTTTTTTCCCACTGTCTTCTAATTCTACAATATTAATAACTATTAGATTTTTTATTTTTTTATTTTTTTGCTATCTCAAAATAATTTGAATAAACAATGCTGGTCTTCCCAAATGCTTCTGGTTTTGCATGGAGAAACGTGCACAGTCTTTCCTTACCAATTTCTCATACTAAATTCTGTCTTCCTGCTTATAATCAATGAACAAATTTGGAATATATAACAAATTTAGAAGGTGAAGAAATTAAACATAACTAGCAAAAGAGTCTAATATTATGAACTTATGCTTGATGAAATTTTATAATGCAGTTTTCCAGACAAATTTATTACAGTATTTAGGATTCAGCCATTTCTTTTAATTACTGCTGCTACTTTTTGGAAAAGCCCTAAGAGACATAGTAAAATTGGTCTAACTAAAATTACTAGTCACAGAGGCATCTGAAAATAGGCATCCCAAAGTGTACTATGTACTGTAATATAAAGGGAAGTTTGCTGTTTATGAGCATTGTCACTGTATCTCTTACCTGATGAGATTCCTTGATGCGCTTGTAAAAGTGGACAGTAAGAGAAATAATATACAGTTCCAGTAGCAACTATTTATGAGAAAATAGACCAGCAGTTGATGCAGGAAAACTATTTCATGAGGTTTTTACTTGCTTGAAATTATGTGAGAAACTTGAAATGACAACAATAATAATGTAGTGCAAACTTTTTGAGATAATAACAACCATATTAGTTGCATTTATCTTTTGTTTCTTTAGGATTTCTCAGTTACTGGCGTGGCAACCTTGCCAATGTTATCCGATATTTCCCAACACAAGCCCTAAATTTTGCTTTTAAGGACAAATACAAGCAGATTTTCATGGCGGGAGTGGATAAAGATAAACAGGTAAATGTGGTGTAATATTTGATTTACTAAAGCACAAAACACAGCCCAATCCTTTCAGCTTCGTTCAGTCATGTGGAAGTGAGTGGATCTGGGTATTCTTTCAGATTATTACTGGCACAAATTTCAGTAGGCAGCATGTGGAAGAAATATTGGCTGGCATCCTAAGTTGCTCTCTGCCAGGAGCATCCTCTGAGCAGTGTTCCAGTCATAGAACAATGCCATCATTGGAAGGGCAGAGGGGGAGATGAGTCTCACCGATTTCCCTTTGTTTCCCTCTCCTTCCAAAATATGGTTTGGAGGGCTGTGGGGGCCTGTATAGAATGGAAGAGTGAGCAGCAGGAAGAGAAGTGAATTCGCAGAAACTGCTTCCTCCTCATCTCACTGGATCTCAGTGCTTCTATTTATGGAAGCCTAGTTTTGTTGCTGTATATTGCTGATACATTTTAAATTGTTTTATTTTACTTGCTGTTAACCACCCAGAGTAGTCAATGACTAGATGGGCGGGATATAAATATAATAAACAAACAAACAAATAGTTCGGATATGAACCATTGGCTTACGATTATAGGTTTCTGCATTCACATTAACAGTTAAATGGTGAAGGGGTTTGATAGTTACTTCCATAACGTTCATGCATATCAAGTTGTGAGGGATGTACTTCTGGGGATCTGCAGGCAAGAAAAAAACCTCATGATGAACAGCACAGAAGGAGGAGAAAGTTGGATTTGTAGCTTTAAAGCCTGAGCACTGTCCCCACCTATTCCCAGCTGGTGATGGAGCTCATAGGCTAGGTGGAAAAATGCCTGTATGCACTGAAAAGCCAGGAGTAAGAAGAGTAGGGACTAGAGTTGCCAGCTCTCAAGGTGCCATCTGAAGTAGGGCATTGCTATGATTCTTCCAAGTCTGGCAGAGAGGCAATCTCAGGGCCGATGTTCCTGGAGGTAGAGGAAATACGATTTTATTGTATGCAAGTAGCTTTAATATCTAGATGCTCAGTTACTTCCACACCCTACTGGCTTAACACAAACATGTTTGTATATATCTTATGCTCATAGTGTTTCTGTAAGAGGGTGTAATGTAGTTCGCAATATTTCCTACTTTCTTGTGCACTCACTCATGAAGATACAATAAATCACAGAAGTGAGTACACCTGCTCACATTTCATAAATATTTCAGTGTATCTTTTCATGTGACAACACTGAAGAAATGACACTTGGCTACAGTGTAAAGCAGTGAGTATACAGCTTGTATAACAGTGTGAATGTGTTGTCCCCTCAAAATAACGCAACACACAGCTATTAAGGTCTAAACCGCTGGCAACAAAAGTGAGTACACCTCTAAGTGACAATGTCCAAATTGGGCCCAAGTAGCCATTTTCCCTCCCTTGAGACCCACTAGTGTCACAAGTCTCAGGTGTGAAGGGGGAGCAGGTGTTATTACTCTCACTCTCTCACACTGGTCACTGGAAGTTCTATATGGCACCTCATGGTAATGTACTATCTGAGGATCTGAAAAAACAAATTGTTGCTCTACATAAAGATGGCCTAGGTTATAAGAAGATTTCCAAAACCCTGAAACTGAGCTGCATCACAGTGGCCAAGACCAGACAGCGGTTTAACAGGACAGGTTCCACTCAGAACAGGCCTCTCCATTGTTGACCAAAGAAATTGAGTGCCCATTGTTGGCATCATATCCAAGGATTGGCTTTGGGAAATAGTTGTATGAGTGCTGTCAGCATTGCTGCAGAGGTTGAAGGGATGGGGAGTCAGCCTGTCAGTGCTCAGTTCATATGCTGCACACGGCATCAAATTGGTCTCCACAGGTGTTTTCCCAGAAGGAAGCCTCTTCTAAAAATGATGCACAAGAAAGCCCACATACAGCTTGCTGCAGACAAGCAGACTAAAGACATGGATTTCTGGAACCATGTCCTGTGGTCTGATGAGACCAAGATAAACTTATTTGGTTCAGATGGTGTCAAGCGTGTGTGGCAGCAACCAGCTGAGGAGTACAAAGTGTGTCGTGCCTACAATCAAGCATGGTGGTGGGAGTGTCATGGTCTGGGGCTGCATGAGTGCTGCCGGCACTGGGGAGCTACAGTTCATTGAGGGAACCATGAATGGCAACATGTACTGTGACATACTGAAGCAGAGCATGATCCCCTCCCTTCGGAGACTAGGCCGCAGGCCAGTATTCCAACATTATAACGACCCCAAACGCACCTCCAAAACGACCACTGCCTTACTAAAGAAGCTGAGGGTAAAGGTGATGGACTGGCCAAGCATGTCTCCAGACCTAAACCCTATTCAGCATCTGTGGGGCATCCTGAAATGGAAGGTGGAAGTGTGTAAGGTCTCTAACATCCACCAGTTCTGTGATGTCATCATGGAGGAGTGGAAGAGGACTCCAGTGGCAACCTGTGACGCTCTGGTGACCTCTATGCCCAAAAAGGTTACGGCAGTGTTGGAAAATAATGGTGGGCACACAAAATATGGACACTTTGTGCCCAATTTGGACATTGTCACTTAGGGGTGTACTCACTTTTGTTGCCAGCGGTTTAGACATGAATGGCTGTGTGTTGCGTTATTTTGAGGGGACAGCACATTTACACAGTGAATATACAAGCTGTATATTTACTGCTTTACATTGTAGCCAAGGGTCATTTCTTTAGTGTTGTCACATGAAAAGATATACTAAAATATTTATGAAATGTGAGGGGGTGTATTCACTTCTGTGATATGCTGTATGCTTTTGGCAATTCTACACAAGTGCCCTTCCCCATAAATTCCTCTAGTCTCAAGTTTTGACCTTGAAATCCCAGGGGATGAGAAGCTGCTTACTTGGCAAGCTTCTTAGGAATATGCAGTCGGGCCCAGAATACAATTTGATGTAGGGCAAGTGAGAGGAATGCCGCTGTCACAGCCTGTGAGCCGCCTTAATCCACATGCCCTGGTAAGCAGTAACACAGGGACTAAAGAGAACCACCCATTGACCTGACAGTGAGCTTTCCACCAGCCCCAGTGGTAATATAGGGCCTCAAAAACTCCTCACGTGCCATTTATGCTTTAGTTAATGATGTGCAGGATGCAAGTGTGAGCAAGAATGACTGGGATCACTGCACTTGCTTAGGTTCATTTAAATACCTGTATGAGAGCTTTCCCCCCTCTCCCACAGTTCTAACTTGCTGTATTAACTGGTTAGCCAGGTATTACTTGCATTCTGTGTGCATTCATGGTTTCTTCTCATGCCAGTTCCCACAAACAGCTGGCCCAGGAGCAATTCTGGCCTTTGTTTGCCCCACCCACCTCATTCACATCATAAGGTCCTACTCCCTAGTCTCCAGTTTTGAACGCTGCAGACCTGGCAACTGTAAATGCTGATTACATACAATGTTATGCTTAAAGAGCAATATCACAGTGCTTGTAGAGATTGATTTCCTCCCTGAATTAAGCCAGGAAATTAGGTAGTCATGGTAGCCTGGTGCATTAAGCCAGGATGATTTCTCCTTCTAACTGGAGCAATTCAACTTCACCATCTATTTGATGAGCTTGCCAAACCTGTTTGACATGTCCTGTGGGATGCACAGGCATGAAGTAATTTGGAAATGGTTGTCTGCTTATAGTACTCATGGCAACGATTAATGCTTCCCCAATTCTGCCTTTTCAGTCTGTAAATGGTATATGAACATATTTTTAAAAGTCATTATAAATAGCCTTCAATGGGAAATAAACTTGAAAAGGTTGCCTTTATGATACGTATTGATACTGTTCATCACTCAGTGAGTACAACATAGTGTGATAACATTTATGCCCAAAAAAGCATCACTCCTATCTCAATATTTTTTCAATTATGGAAATGCAATTTATTTTGGATTGTGATTTAAAAAAAAAAAAAACAGGGAAAGGCAATTGTGGCCTTCCAGCCCTAATTGTGTTGGGATGAAAAGGGTTGCAGTCCGACATTTGGGATGCCGTTACCTGTCCACTTTTTTAAAACATTCATCTGCAGTAATATGTGTGTTTGTAGAATCCAACTGAATTGTCACTACCGTACTTGTAATGGAGTACTGTATATTGAGGTTCTGAGGCAATTATGAACATGCTAACTATGTATTTCTGGTTCATACAATTCCTTCCCCACATGATCATTTAGATAGGAGTCTTTATTGTGGAGAAATATGAATGTATAAATTAATCCTTAGTAATGAGATAAAATAATAATGTTTATGTGTTGGTCAGCCCTGACTTTCTGCTGTTTCAGAAGAGGGAGCACATCAACAACACAGAAAGCATGATATTTTCTGATCCATACATTGTAGCTATACATTAGGACATTTTATTGCTATATAATATATATTTTTAAATTCATCCATGGAATTTTAAAAGCCTCTTTCCCTAAAACCTCCAGCTCTATTATTATTTTCTTCTAATGCTGGTATTCGCAAACATAGACATCAGATATTCTTTGATTTCAGTTCCAAAAAGCCTTTCTGGCAAAGCCAGTGGTCAAGAATTCTGGAAAGTGTAGTTCAATATTATCTGGGGCCCATCTTTTGAGACCAGTATTCTAATGCTTAGAGCATTATCAGAAACTTAATTTCTAAAATAGTTAGTGGTGTTTCGTGTTGAATGCTTTGTTGTTGATAGGCACTGCCAAATTCTCTCCATTTGGTTTGAATACCTTGCACTGTCTGCTCATTTCTGCCAATTTTGAATTAATTAATATATGAGCCTTTTGAATCTTCATCTTGCTCTAGAAAAACGTAAAATACAGTTTGAAAGATTCTGCTTTAGAAATGAGGCAGGATGTAAATATCTTTTTGTTTCTTTTATACTATGTCAGAACTTTTTTCTAGAACTAATGTGCAATGAACAGTTGCAATAAAGTCTTCAAATACGGTAATTTAACCAAATACATTTTTATTTCCAGAGTCACATCCAGTTAAAGATAGCTGTGCAATATGTCCCACTGAAACCAATAAAATAAATATGTTGCAATGAGTTCAGATCTCATTTCTTCAGTTGGATTTAATCCTTACTAACATAAAGTGTATTGACGCCACAGTGGGGTAATATTTGTTGCACATTGCTTTGTAGAATATAAATCATAGCTTGGATTAGCTATATTTTATTTGCACTGAAGACATATTCAAGTTTGAATATGAAACTAAATGCCAAATATGCAATTTCCAAAAAATGTAAAGCAAAAGAAACACACACAAAAAACCTTCTTCCTTAAAAGTGCAGTTTCACTAAGTACTGTATTCAAATCTCTGCAATGAATTTGCATTGGAAAGTACAAACCTATACCTTGTTTTGCACATGACCTGTGCAACTTTAGTATGGCTGTTGCTCTATACAAAGTCAATAGTTATGAAAATGTATGAGGAACAAATTCTAATCTTAAATCCACACATCTGAGCACATTTTTTCACTTCCAGTTTGGAAGGTGGTTCATTTCAAATCTGGCTTCTGGTGGAGCAGCTGGAGCAACATCAATGTGTGTAGTATATCCGTTAGATTTTGCACGAACTCGATTAGGTGCTGACATTGGAAAAGGTAAGGACTTTGTTTTACAAATTTTTTTCGGACGGTGTCCATCCTGGCAGTTTGCTTTTAATTTGTCAAAAGCTATTCTGTGACTGAAATCCTGATGCTTAGTGTTGTAAATCACAACTACTTTAGGCCCATTGAATCAGTGGGTATTTGATCAATCAATTCCTCTGCTCCACTAACTCAGTGGGCCTACTTTAGTTGCAACTTCCTATGCTAAGCAACAGGATTTCCGCCACTGTGATGTGTAGAAAGGGCAAAGTCTATTTTGGAGCTGAGAGGGGGTGCTCCTAACATTGTGTGTGTGTGTGTTTAGTCGTTTAGTCATGTCCAACTCTTTGTGACCCCATGGACCAGAGCACGCCAGGCCCCCCCCATCCTCCACTGCCTCCCAGAGTTGCGTCAAATTCATGTTGGTTGCCCCAATGACACTGTCCAACCATCTCATCCCTAACATTAGAATAATCTTGAATTGGACTAAAGTTACATCTCTCCAACATCCTCCTGCCTACAGTAGCCAACAAGCTACAAAGTCTACAAACATGGCATTCACCATTTGTAGCTTCCCAGCATGAGATAGTCTGAAGCAAATTGCTCTCAATTGGAAGTTCCACATAACTCTTACACTTGGGTACCGCGAGTTTGGAAATGAAATGGGGCCACTCAAAAATAAGAGGGACTTCAGCTAACTGAGAAGACTCCCAGTCTTTGTTAAAACATTCCAGATGGTCTGATGGACACATGAACTACTGCTTATAATTTGTAGTAAGTATTCTGGTTTGGTTTAATGTTGTGGAGTGGATGTGCACTATGAGGTTACAAAAATTACCTCACACTAAAAAGGGATGTTTCTGTAGGAAGAAGGAAAAAACACAATTTCTGCTTCTGACTTTTCATCCTCACACTATCCTTATAGCTCTATAATAGTTCAGATCTAGCCCCAAACATGAACCCCATGGGGACATAAAAATGGCTTATACAAGATCAAAATATTCCTCCATCTATTCCAGTATTGTCTATGGTTGGGACAGGGGTGGATTAGGTAGTGGTTTACCTTGGTTTTTTAAAAAAATATCATTTACCAATCAATTTAGCAGATGACAGTTTTCCATCAACATATTTTATTTACATTTGTGAGATGAAACTGAGAGCACTCTGAGGCTGCTGTCAAGAAATCATCAGCATAATCACTAATCAGCACTGGATGGAATCTCAGGGTATTGCTATGCTCCAGTGGCCTAGAGATGGGAATGAACTGCTGGTTTCTGCAGTTTGTAATGGCTCATTCTTTGGACATAGAGGTGTTCTGTGGGTGCTCCCTGCTTCCTCTGGTGGGCATCCACAGGCTCCCTTGCTCTGCCTCTGAGTGGGTATCCACAGGAGGAGGCGAGGAGGGAAGCTGGGACACCTGCAGAACACCTGTGCATCTGAAGAACAAACCATTACGAACTACTGAACAAATGGTTCATGCCCATCAGGAGACATCTTGGGGCAAGAAGAGTCAGAGGCAGACAAATGTTGACTTCTGTAAATCAAATGAATTTATTGCCCCAGTGGTTCACTGATCTGTGTTGCTACAAATGGTATGTTGGGCCCAACAATGTATAATCATGTGCTTTCTCTCCAGTTCCCTCCTCTTGCTCTTCATTTTCTGGTGCACCAATGTCAGGCCCATCATACTACCCAGAGCAAGACACAGAATAGAGCCCTGGTATCACAACATGAGTTGTGATACCAGGGCTCTATTCTGTGTCTTGCTCTGGGTAGTATGATGGGCCTGACATTGGTGCACCAGAAAATGAAGAGCAAGAGGAGGGAACTGGAGAGAAAGCACATGATTATACATTGTTGGGCCCAACATACCATTTGTAGCAACAATAAGACTCATTATTGTCCCCTGAAAAGGGGATACATACAAATAATTAGCTTTTTCTATATCTTTCAGTAAATAGCAAATTATGTCTCTCATGATAAGAAAGGGATAAAGCTATTGCTTATCTACCCCTCCTCAGTTTAGCTCTTTTCAGTATTTCTAAATCTGTGATCCGTTTACCAAACTTCATCCCCCCCCCTTTTTTTTCTTTGTCTTAGGTCCTTCAGAGCGACAGTTCTCGGGCCTTGGTGACTGCATTGCTAAAATTGCAAAAAAAGATGGAATTACTGGCTTATACCAAGGATTTGGTGTTTCAGTACAAGGGATCATTGTATACAGGGCATCCTATTTCGGATGTTATGATACCATAAAAGTAAGTTTTCTGATCAAACCAACAACTTGCAATCAAAAATTGATAGTTCGTATGCAACTTTCTATTATGCATTTATACATCTTTTGTTAGACTAGCCTTGTTTGCTGTGTCATTATTAATTTTGTTTGACAAATTGGTAATGGAGACTTAAAGAGTTTAAGACTCACTCCGAGTTGTTCTGTGTTTGATCGTGCTGTTTGTTAGCTGTTTCTACATACTTATTGCCCCAATTCAGTGTTCTCCAACCCAGCCCCCTGCAGTTGTTAGAACAGCTCCCGTTATTCCTAATCCCTAAACCTGCTTAGGCTTAGTAGCAATTGCAGTCAGAAACAGCTTTGGGAAACAGACTAGGGAATGACAAATAAATGTACTGTACTAGTCAGGTGATGTGATCTGAAGCTTCTTTGGGCATAGTGACTAACTTGGTTGACTTCAGGTGAGGAAGCAGATTCATGCATACATCGTTTATAGACATGTACAGTAGGACTCCCTCACGTATTCACGGGATCAGTATCTGCAGTTTCACTTATCCATGATCTGCAAATATTAAAAACATTAAACAAAAAAATCCAGAAAAAAAACACATTTTCACATGTATTACCAGAACTGGCCACAAGAGGGAGCCAGAAATGCTATGAAGACTTGTTAGTGAAGAGCACACCGCATGGTAACTAGTGGCCAGTGCTGGTAATGCATATGAAAATATTTTTTCCTGTTCCTCCCCCTTTCACAATGCCATAGGGCATTCACTATTATTCATGGTTTTCAGTATCCATGGTGGGACCTGGAGCCAATCCCCAGCAAATATGGGGGTCCTACTGCATTGCCACCATAGAATTATATGTAGCAGCCATTACTGTCAACATCTTAGCATCTTTATTGGAGATGAGGATGCACTTGGTATTAGTTAGGCTATGAATATAAATGACTCACAGAGGAGGCCTGTGTAAGTTTTTTTTCAAAAGTAAATTCCTTTGGTGGGTATTTTATTGCTAATCTCAGCCAGAACATACATATTGGATCAAATAATTGGATCAAAATGCCATTGCATTTACACCAGCTGAAATGACCAATTATATCCACTGTGCCAGGGGATTTAAATAATTCTAGGGAACCCCACCCTGCAAGTTCCCTGTTGTTTGCATGCCAAATTTCAAGAACATATGTTTCATGATATTGGAACTGTGGCATGACAGACACATATTTACTCTTTTCATATTATAGATTATTTTGCTAGCCTAGTTCGGCATCTTTAATACATAAAGTGAAAGAGTGAATCTTTAAATTACATTAAAAATGTTAAGTAATCTATTCTTCAATATAGAATGGATACAGGAAATGTTGGAGGAATATGATCATTTTACCTCATTTGTTTTATGTTTATATTTCCTGCTCAAGCTGAAGATTTCTTATTTCTGTTTTTCCTTTCTTAGGGAATGCTGCCAAATCCAAAAGAAACACCATTTATTGTCGCCTTTGCAATTGCCCAAGCTGTGACTGTATTTTCTGGGATACTATCTTATCCTTTTGATACTGTCAGAAGACGCATGATGATGCAGGTGAACCTATTGAACAAGTGTTGCATTGTATATATGTTGCCACTAATATATATTGCCCCTTCTTATGCTTTGGTTCTGCTTTTTGCATTATAACTCTCTCCTTCTTGTACTTTCCCCCAAAACACGTTTTCACATTGTTATAGTATACATACTCTGTTTCCCCGAAAATAAGACAGGGTCTTATATTAATTTTTGCTCCAAAACACATTAGGGCTTATTTTTCAGGGGTGTTTTATTTTTGTCATGTACAGCCATCTACATTTATTCAAATGCAGTCATGTCATCATCTTCTGGTTGCTGCACAATGGTGGAGGGCAGGGTTTCACTTAACTAGGGCTTATTTTTGGAGTAGGACTTATATTACAAACATCCTGAAAAATCATACTAGGGCTTATTTTCTGGTTAGGTCTTATTTTAGGGGAAACAGGGCAGGACTTTGCCTGAAAATACAGTGTTAGGGTTATAGGAAATTGCTTTGCACAGAGTCATACTACAGAGTCATACTACTGGTACACACACATCAAAATTATTTACACTGCCTGTTAACAGCTCTTCAGAGTTTCAGGCAGGAGTCCCTTCTAGTCCTATTGGATGAATATATCCACTGCGGTTTTTTGGTAGGAGGGCTGAATAGAGGTTTGTGAGCATACAAGCCACTGCAACACACATGCACATTTTAATTTTGTGTCTGTGCACACATTCTTTAAGCCTTTATAACACATTCAGTGGTATTTTTTAAAAAAACTACTAAGAGGAAAAAATTATCAGAATTTAGATTTTCACAATGTTAGTACACACCACCCTGAACGTATGTGGAATGAGGGGATTTTAGGGGGGAAAGGACCTAAGAAGAGGAAGGCACCAACAATATGTAAGAATATAAAGTGTCCATATGTTGTAGAAAAAGTTGCCTCAAAGTCTCTGTAGAGATTTGCAGTTGGGTTTGGCAGATGTGGAGAGGGGAAAAAGGCTCCCCTTGATGAGGCTTGGGGATTCTAAAGAAGCCTAAATGGGTAATTTTTACTTTTCACATTGCTGTTGGCCACCTTTTTACATCTATTAAAATAATTTTTCCATCTGATGGTTGTTGTGAGTTTTTCAGGCTCTTTGGCCGTGTTCTGAAGGTTGTTCTTTCTGACGTTTTGCCAGTCTCTGTGACCAGCATCTTCAGAGGACTGGAGTAGGAACTCCGTCCATGCTGTGTTCCTACTCCAGTCCTCTGAAGATGCCGGCCACAGAGACTGGCGAAACGTTAGGAAGAACCACCTTCAGAACACGGCCAAAGAGCCCGAAAAACCCACAACAACCATCAGATCCCAGCCATGAAAGCCTTCGAGAATAAATTTTTCCATCTCTTGGATTTTGAATTGTACGCATATTCTCTTGGAGTTCTGTATTTGGTGTATAGAAAAAAAAAGGCCTGGCAATATGTGTGAGAAGAAGCCTAGCCGGATATGCAACTACCATATCTGTATATGTTAGAATATATAAATGAATTTAGGGTTAGAGAAACAGAGCATCCTCTTCTCACCCAGCTAGAAATACTTGGGATTGAAACTGGAATCTATCCAGTTGTTTCTGTCAGTTTTTAAGTGCTAAAGCCAGTTGTTATTCCCATGAGAGCAGGCCTGCTGAATTAATGGATCTAATGGCAACATTTATTTATTTGTTTGTTTGTTTGTTTGTTTGTTTGTTTGTTTAACTTATATGCCGCCCACACTACCCGAAGGTCTCTGGGCGGCTTACAGCATTTAAAATACAATAAAAAGGCAAAATAAAAGGGCAAAATAATTAAAATGCAATTAAAATATATATTCTAAAAATTGCCATCAGACCCACATTTGATGTTATTTCAGTTAAAAGCCATTTGGAACAGGAAGGTTTTGACCTTTATGTAAGTTCCATTGATTCAGTGGGTCCACTCTAGTTAAATTAACTGGATTTAACCCTAGGTTTTCTGTAGCTCTATTCTGTCCTTCTCTAAGCATGTGGAGACCAAAAGCACTGAAAAAAGCACAGCAATTGCTCCCCACCCCATTGTGAAACACACAAAAGAAAAATTCTGAAGAAGGGGAGTTTCTGTGTGAATCAGAAAACAAAAAGAACATGCAAAAACAGGGTTCTGGTTTGTGCAGAGGTAGGGGTTACCCAGATTCAGCCATGTCCCCCTGTTCAGGCTATCACTCTCGGATGTTGAATGCAACAAGGGGGATAGGGTTAGTGTACTCACCTCATACAGCATGGGCTCTTCTTCCTTAGATAAGTAAGACTGATTGGGCTTGACAGTCATGTGAACACAAAAACAGATCAACTGGTACAGTACTCATGCTTTTATTTTTCAAAACGTCCCTCCTGAAAATACATACATAATCTTATACTGTATGTCAGTGGTCCCCAACCTTGGGCCTCCAGATGTTCTTGGACTTCAACTCCCAGAAATCTTGGCCAGCAGAGGTGATGGTGAAGGCTTCTGGGAATTGTAGTCCAAGAACACCTAGAGGCCCAAGGTTGGTGACCACTGCTGTATGTAACATGAACATTCTAAAGAAATGTGTCTGTTTGGGAGGAGGTAGTAAATGTTTAAAATGTGAAGACCTATGGTATCTAATTTTCATTACACGTTTTCACGTGCTCATATGTTTAAAACATTTTAAAGGTTAAGAAATATTTAGATTTTTTATTAAAAACTCAGCTTTTCATTTACTGAATCTGGTATTCCTCAATATGACACTTGAAATCTCCATATCCAAGGAAACCAAACCTTTGAAAAATCTGAAGATTTTTGTACACTGGCATGAATATGATGAACACTCCTTCCTTTCCCTTGTGTGAACTTTAGTAAAAACTCACTGAAGAACAATGCTCCAAAAGCATGCTGCAGACATGCTTGCTTCCAAGACCAGCTTGCTTCAGAATGCCCTGAGGAAAGAAGTGACCTCATTTAATTCTGAAGCTTAAGAGAAACATCACAAGAAGATCATTGACTTGCTAAATTTAGCAGCAGAGAGCTAAGTCAGGGTAATATTTTCTCATTAGGGTTCTTATACCAAACAGAGGCAAAATTAGAGATAAGCATTTCCCTGAATTGTTATATTAAAAAAATCTAATATTGTAGAATAAGCACCACTTTTTATATATATACATTACACCAAATGTGTCTAAATTCTTTCCAATACAGAGTGGAGAAGTTGAACGTCAGTACAAAGGAACTATTGACTGCTTTGTCAAAATATACAGCCAGGAAGGAACAAATGCTTTCTTTCGGGGAGCCTTCTCAAACGTTCTTCGTGGGACAGGAGGTGCTTTGGTCCTGGTCCTATATGACAAAATTAAGGCATTTCTTAATATTGATCCTTCATTAGGCAAATCTTCCGACTAAAGTGCTTATAAAGAACTGACTTGATCTGCATCGTGCACAGAGACAGAATTTTTGCCATTTTGAAAATAGTTATTCATTATTGTACTGAGCTGTAGCAACAGTCAACAATTTTGCATAGATCTGCTAATTCTGTATTTAATCTACTGATTTTAAAGCAGTAAAAGCATGATTTGTTTCCTTTCATAAAGAGTTTTGTTTACTTGTTTCATTCCTTCCTCATTGTTTTCAAATACCAGGGTTCACATTATAGTCTCTTCTTGTGTCTTTCATTTTCACTATCATGTAAAACCAAGATTGCTGCTATTTTATGTGAAAGGTGGGCAGCTAGGATAGAGGCACCATTAATAGCCTGGTGAAAACCTTCTGCTGTAATCCATTTATGAACAAGCTGAATCCAGGTTTCCTGAAGTCTAAAACATCTGGAGTACCAAAGGTTGTCACCCTGGTTCTAGAATTTTCATTTTTTTTCTATGTTCAGGATATGAAAGAAGGCAAAATAACTCTGTTAAGGCTAGCAATTTAATATTTATTTATT